GGGAAAGAATGTTGAGATGTCTTTTTCCGTGAGATTTATATGATTTAAACATATGGGATTTTGAATTGATTAACCACTTTATTTTTTTAAAATAATAATTATCGTAATGACGGTGGAAAACGTCTAATCGATTCGATGCCTCCAAAGGCAAAGACGATGTCCTCGGAACAAATTCTTAATCATGAAAACATAAAAAAAAAAAAAAATTAGTTAGAGTCCCTTTCATTCTGCTTTGTATATTCCAAATTTCAAAAGTTGTTATGTTTTTGTTTCACAGGAAAACATTCTTTTACTTTTTTGTCATTTTCCTAAAATAAATAAATAAATAAATAAATACTACTACCAAATATGGAGTATGGAGCTCGGGAAGTGCGGATCGCCGGCGTCGGCGGACCTTAGATGATGATGATGATGATGATGAAAGGGTTTAATTAATAGATAATAGTATATTATTATTTTATAAAGAAATAATTTTTAATATAATGTGAAAATTTAAACCAAATAAAAAAAACACATCCATACGTAAACGTTTGGATATATAAATTGGTTTTTGTATTTGGTTTGGGTTTAGATAGTTTGAGTAAATCTCGCATCTAAATCGGGTTTAGTTCGGTTTACTTTTAGTTTAAGCTTAAGCTGTATGAAATTTTATTTTTTCTGAAATCGGAAGATATTATATTATAGTTTGGGTTTTGGGTTCAAATTAGACTGAACTCAATCTGGTTTGAGGCCCAACAAAGACTTGACCCAATGAATCTTTACAAAATAATAATAATAATAATAATAATAACCAAAAAATTCGACGCACGACATAAAAATATCCTCTAATCAAATTTATAAATTACCAATTAAAATGAGTAGCAACAATTGAAATATTTACGGATTCTTATTTTTCTGAACCTTTTTTTTTTACCTTGAGTTTGGTCATTTAAATATGGTTTACTTGTTCAATTTGAATTAATATATTCGATTAAAAAAAATGTGTGAACGTTGATGACAATAACAATGAAACATTATATAGAAACCTTATTTAATTCATATGAAGAAAAACATTTGACTAAAACTTCTAATCTCGGACCACGGATCCATGTGGGTCGGATTCGGGCAAACCCATTTGAGATCTTGATCGATCCTCGGGTGACATTCTCACATATTTGTGGTTATAAACTCATCGAACAAAAATTTTACATACACCGTTAATCCTCCAATTTCGCAGGTTAGTAGTTTCAAATATACCGTTGGAAAATTTTCACCAACCCTTGACCATTTCTTCCGAGAATTCTTCAACCAGACATCGAAAGATCGAAAACTCGATCTCCATGGCAGTTTCTCGAACTTCTCGATCGTTCCTCGTCCAAAACCCAGCAGCAATCTGTGTCCGGAAATCCTGCTCGACCATCATGTCGATCGTGTTGGACTCCACGTCTCTCCACGACTCCAATCTCTCGCAGACCCTTTCGGCCACGGCCTCTGTTTCGATCAAGAATCCGTTTTCTTGAACTTCCTCCGCCACGATGTCCGAGACCAACGACAGGATATCTCCGGGAACTCGTTTGAGTTCTTGGAAGAAAGTCTCGAGAACTCTCCGCGTGATTTCGCGGCAGCATCGATGAGAATGCGTTGCGTTTTCTTCTTCGCCGTCGTCTTCTTCGGTTTCTTGATCAGACGACATCTGTTTATCGAGCACGACTGGGTCAAGACCAGCCAACCGCTCGAATCTACGAAGCTTTTGAAGAAGCTGATGCTTTGCTCCTGAAGAGACACAATCAAGATCCAGACAAAACAACGTCAGTCCAATGTTTGTGTAAATTCATAAAAAAAAAAGCCGAGCAACCAAGAAATCAAATCAATTTATGAGGAAAATAAATAATAATAAAAAAAAAAAGGAGAAAGGGTCCGTACTTTGGACAGATCTGAAACTGGAGGGGATGCTGTTGCTGTGCATGTGAATGTCTTCGTCATCGTCCTGAAACGGGGGGTCCAAAACTGAAACAGGACTGCTCTGTTCCTTCTCTTCCTCTTCTTCCATCTCCATCTTCTCCGTTTCATGCCTCTGTTTCCCTCAACAGAAATTCCCGTTCAGAGAATTATACTTTACATTCTCTCGTTTTATTTTTTTATTGTATCAAATCGCCATTTCTTTCAGAATTCGGTGTACTAACTAGGTTAAGTCGGGCGAATTTTATTTATTTATTTTTTTGAAGTTACATGAGAATGAGATATAATAAGTAAACCCAAGAAATTTTTGTAATCTATTGCTAAAATAATTTGAAGACAAAAAAAAAACACCACCGTGGGAGAGAGATTATTGCGTGTCAGAGACAAAGATCGACTTTGCTTTTTTTTTTTTATCAGATTCAAGCATCAAAGGCTAAAGTTAGAAGTGGAAATGACGGAAATACCCCTATCGTAATCTGTTATTCGGAAATGTCGAGCTCGGAATGATCAGGTTACTTTTGTCATTTTCTTGTCAAGCTAGTCACTAAATTAAGACCTATTAGCAATATTTGGAAATTATGAACATTTCTTCTCCTAACGTTTTCAAACTATAGGGTTAGCTTTATTTATTTATTTTTTACTATTTCTTTGTTTGAATTACTTCACTTTTTGTACTTTGCGGTTGGACAACCGTCAAATCTGATTTTAATTGTTATTGGTGGTTGGTTTAAGATTTATGTTAAATTGAATAAGTTTGTTTTAGAGATAATTAGTTAACAGAGAGACAAAATAAAACCTTTTCGCCGCCGTGTCTGGGAGACGCAGCCGGAGACGCGAAATTCGGCGTTTCGAAACCGCACGGAGATTCTGGGTTTGTTTGCAGCACAAAACGGAACGGGCTTTCGCTGAAGCGTTTTCCGTAATCCTCAAAGAAATCTCCACCGTCCATTATGTCACGTGTCAACTCATCTGAACCGTCCGATTGGCTTCTGTTTGACGTTTCGAAATCGCAGTCCCAAGACCCGCCTTCGTTGCTTTCTGACCAAACGCCGCTGCTGCCTGACCTCCTCGAAAACCGCGTTTCAGACGCCCTTTTCTCCCCCTCGTTCATCGCGACCGCGTTTGTTGGAGCTCCCTTGCGTTTCGCGTTTCCGGTGATTATTTTACGAACGACGGGAGATTCCCATCTCAAGATATCCTTCACCGAAACCCTACCGCTGTCGCAGTCGCCGCCGCCGATCTCGCGTTTCTTGCGATTAGTGAGCTTCTTCAACACTGACCCAAATAACCCAAACGCGTTTCCCGCGTTCCTCGTTCTCGTCTTCGAGGACGACTGTTTCTGAATCCTAACCGCGGCTTCCAGAAGAATCGCGGCGGTTTTAGCCGGGATGTTGAGGAAAATCGCGTTTGGGCTCCGATTCGGGGATCGAAACTCGAAGAGAGGAGACTTTCTCGGGTCGGGAGATTCGCGGAAGGAGAAGAGACAGGCGTTGCGGCAGAAACGCGAGGGAAGGCCAGCGTTTTGCGATATGGGTCTGCGTTTCCTGACCTGCAAGTCGGTTCCCGGAGACGGTGGCCGCTTGATCTGACATCTATGGTCGGAGATGTAGCTTTGGAGCTGAAACGGTTCTTGGTCTTCTTGCAAAAGATCCTTTAAGTGCTTCTTGGACGCCATTGCTGTCAAACACAACGAATTGAGTTTCTTTTGCCTTTCTGCTACTTCTTGTTCGCGAAATTCTTACAGGGAAGAAGAAGACATAAGGTGGAAAAAGGTTTCAACTTTCGGATTGTTCTTGTTTCCGTGAGATGGGAAAATGAAAGTTGCAGAGAAGGGGAAGTTCTTGGGCTCTCAATCTTCCGAGTACAAATAGATATGAAGAGAGAGAAAGAAAGAGAGAGAGAGAGAGAGTAATGGCGGTGATTCAAAAAATCTGGATGGTTTATAAGATCGAGGCAAGGGTAAGTAAATAGTTATAGGTAGGAGCAAAATAATATTAATATAATAATGGTAGTGTGCAATTATAAGCACACCAACAATATAAAAATTATATAGAATTCAAACGCATCACATTGTTTATTCGATCTGTCCCCGTTTTAATGTATAGTCTCTTTTTTATCCTCCACGTTCGATGATTTTGACCGTCCAAGTTATATATTCTTGTTATTTGCACGGTATATCAATTGAGTAATTAATCCGTGTGTGTGGTCTATCGTGTAAATTTAATATTATATATATATATTCAATTATCTTTTTTTATTATTTCGGAATATAGTTATATTCGGCGGGGTTTTGATTGTGTTGTAATGAATAAAATGTAATCATTAATAGATAGAAAAATATGGTCGAATCGAATGCTTTCAAATAAGTAAGTTTACATTCAATTATGGCATAAAATGTATATATTTTTTTTTTGGGGCGGCAATTTTTCGTGATATTTAACGTTTGCCTCTTCTAACGCGTTGACAAAAACAAACAAAATGAAAATATCGGGAATAACTCGGGACGCAATATTCACGACAAATTGGGTGGAAAACGACAAAAGAGAGAAACGTAAAACCGGTTTGATACTCATTATCCCCCCCCCCCTTTTAAACACCCCTTTTTCTCACTTTTCAATTTCAATATGTAATTTCTTTTTATTGGAAATACTAGGGTTAAAAATATATTTATGCAAACAAAGATAGAGATAAAAATAAGCATATTTGAATCAAATTCGACGAATAATATATAATTTTTACAATCAAATTAACTTACTTTGAACGGAACATATAAAATAACGGAATAATTTTAATAAAACTTGAATTCAGATCCAATCAAAATATAATTTAAACTAATTAATAAAAATAGGTGAATGATAGAGCATTTTCCAAAATAAAAAATCTAAAAACAAGAAAAATAAATGAAACCGAAACATTTATCCATAAATACATTACAACCTACCATGCATCGTTAAATGTTTGGCCATACAAAACGTCATGTCACTTGCAAATATCCAACGTAGGGAATTAAGATGAACTATGAGCCGACGTGGAAAACTTTGCGTGTTATTGTAATATTTCAATCATTCTAATATGATGTGTTATAACGAAATTGATGATTGAGAAATTTCTAGAATTCCGAATAACAGCATGAGAGTGGAATAGAAAATAAAAATAAAAATTACTCAATATATCTTTTTTCCGTATGCATGAAACTATATATATATATATATTTATATTTGAATATTTTGGTGGATGTAAGGTTATTTTCACGTACGGGGATTTTTGATTTCGTCTGATTGGGTGGACTGCAGCACTCGCGCCTTTAATTTAAATAAATCTGCACACTCAAAAAGGCCACAGTAATTATGATTTCCTTAGAATAGTAAATTCTAATAAAGTGGGTTACAGTTATTTCCTCTTTCAGTGCACTGTTATTAATACGGTAAATGTTTTTGGTCAGACGCGTGAGTGATTTCTCTCTTCTTTACGACAGTTGTTGTTAGTGGTGGTGGGGTTTTCCTGATCAAATCCAAATTTATGCTGTCCAAAATTTGAACTTTGGTGGATTCAGGGCCAACAATAAAATAAAATAAATAATTGGGTTGAATTTGAAAGTGAAAGTAGGGACGGCAAAAAAAATTTACCAAGTATTAACAGAAATTTGAGTATTTGGTCTATTTCATTTTGGATTGGGATTAGATTTAAAAGAAATTAATCGACCACAGATAAGTCGTAAATATTGAAATATATGATAATAATAAATATCTAAAAAAACATAAGTTAGGATTAAATTGAGTTAACGGAGCAAATGCATAGATAAGTGAATTCACATTTCACGAAATATACTAATAAGTTATACCTACCGAAAAGAAAGAATCCTAAGTTGGGAAAATGAAATAAAAAAATTGAGAGAAAAAACAAAAGCCCACATCTCAAGGCATGGGACAGTTTATGTTACATTAATTTTATCGTTTTATTTGGTCCTTTCTGGTTATAATTATACAATTATATATAATATTCAAACATATGTCGCCTAGTCGACCAAAAAGACCAATAATGCCATGCACGTAAATAATAGTTTGCTCTATATGAGTTAAATACATGTGATATTCTATTTTAAATTAAAACTTTACTCAAATTGAATTGAGCTTGTTTAGATTTAGTTTTTATTTTAAAAAAAAAACTCTCGTATTTATTGGTGTTATTATTATTATTACTATTATTTCAATATTCCATCCGTTTTACACTTAATTTAGGTTTGAAAAAAAAGTGATTGCAATTAATTTCTAAATCAGATTAGATTTCGATACATTTATAAGTTATTTGATTCGATTCGATAAAATTCAAATCTTTCTCGATCAATAGTTTATAAAAGTTCTTTGATTGTTAGGGAAGAAATTACGCTAACAACATTTAAAATTTAGAAAAGAAGAAAAATTTAGGTAATCCTTTGATTCACGTTTTTATTATATGTTAGATTAGTTGCTAAAACAATTATGATTCGTGTTTTTGATAAGGAACAATCATATGATATCATGTTAATCAAGCTTTACATATTCATGCTAATCAAACTATACATAGTTACACGTTATGTACCTAAATAAACAAAAAAATTGATTTCTTTTGTGTGTTCGTGGACTGAACTCATTAGGTTAATTAACTACCCTAAACCCTATTTAATATGTCGGTCCATTATTATAAATGTGTTTTTAGGAGGAGTTGTTTTCAATGTTTTATTGTTTGGTGAGTAACTTTCAATATTCTTCTTGTTTTCAATTGCAAAGACACACTTGGGGACAAGTTCATTTCATATAAGCTTTATTTATTTATTTTGTCTTTGATTATGTCTCACAATTGTCTTATTTTTAATTAATGCTTTTTGGGTCATTAATTATTAGTTTAGGCACATGATCTCCATCCATAACCATACACTAACCTATTTGTTTAATCCGGAATAATTAATTAATTAATTATACACTATAATGTCTATATATAATTCCACTTTTTAGATACGCATAAAGTTACTTAATGTTTAGATAAATTTTTGTAGATCAAATAAAAAAGGGATAAGAAATTAGAATGTAAAACCGGTTTGATACTCATTATTACAATTTTTTCATTTGAATTCTTTATCTTTATTTATTCATTATGATTAGAACCAAATATTCTAAATTTTGGTTATGTTTTAATTATATTATTTTGAAATTTAATTATCTTGATTTTATAAAATTATATCTATTCAATTTTGAGAAAGTTTGTTTATTTGTTCAGAATTTTATTTCAATTTGATTTGAGTTTTTATCGATTTAATTTTAGAAAAAATATATTTAAATCAATTTTTTACTCAGTTTAATTCAATTATATAATATACATATCGAAATACACACACTTATTTCCGTAATTGTTTTGATAAAATTCCAAAATGAAATAATTGAGAATACAAAGCAAAAATGCAGCAGGCTGAATAAAAAGAAAATTAAAATGAAAAAGGCGACAATGCTCTTGATACATTAATGTTAGAAAATCCACTTGGGCCCATGATACATACATACATACATACATACATACATACATACATACATACATACATACATACATTATTTTTGGTAAAATGCACATCGGTCTATGAGCACCGTCATGTCACTTGCAAATATCCAACCCACACGTGTGAGTCGTTAGATTACGACACGTGTCGAGGATGGTCGGCGGCTCTTATGCACAGCATCTGTTTGCACAGCATCTGTTCGCCGTCTGATGACGTGGCACCTCCCCTCATTGGATTCCATTTCTTCTTAGCATTCCTCTGTATTTTTCTGGAATTTATTTATTTTAATTATTATCATAAAATTCAGCGACAAAACCTAAAAATATGCACATGTATACATACATACATACACCTCAACACATATACACGTATATAATATATATTTACGTACGTGTGTACGTGTTTCTGTGCGTTATAGATTATTTACAATGCCATTAAAGCACCTCCAAAATTCACTATCAACCCGCGAATTAAATAAGCGAGTGGGAATCGAACCATACTTAACAAGTAAATAGCACATTTATATTTAAAAAAAAAGTGTAAAATTGCAATTTTTATTTGATAACTCTCTTCTTTATCTTTTATTAGAAATTATACTTTAATTTAGGATTTATTTTATATATTTAAGTTTCCAAATAGCTTTTAGAAATGTTATTTTTAAAATTCGAAACTATTTATTTGGGTTATATTATTATTAGATCCAAAACATAAAATCAGGTTTTAAAATGCGAAATGTGGTTCATTTAAAAAAATGTTAAATTAATTAGTCTTTTTATTAAATAAAACGTATATCTGGTTATTTGAAATCGATTAGCAAAATATAACAAGTCCTTTTTTTTGTGTAAATTTTTTTTCTTTTATTACCTTTTAGAAGGTTCCTCGCAAAGAGACATGGAAATCCTCTATAATTTAATCTTATGGAATTAAGGAAAAGGACAAAAAGAGGGAAGAAATTCTTTTAATCTAGCCATGAGGTGATATAAATACAACAATTAATTTTCAATGCGTATAAATGTATTAAATTTTATTAATAAGAAAAAAATGAATGTTGTCCGTATACGGAAATCATGTCCAACAAAAGATATGGAAGAGATATGGGTCCGAGAGATACATGCATGCATGATAGGTCCCGATACAATCTACAAACTCCATATACATATATACATACATATATATATATATATTATAACTATATGATTGAAGAAAATGGAAATTTTGGTCCAAATGTAAATAACATATGTCTTTGACTATTGTGAGACATAATGTCTCAACGTATCTTCAGCTTGGATCGTGTCTCGAACTGTCGTTTTACTCCATGCTCATGCACGACTGTCTGCTGCATTCATATTTACATTTTTGTCCCCCCTTTACAAATTTCTTATGGTTCTGATTAATTTTATCAATATCTATATTCACGCTCGCACATACATATATTTATGTAATTATATTTATTTTGAGGTGGAACTGATATCTACAGTTTTTAGGATATATACATATTCCAACAAATATATATATATATTGTTAGGTTTAATGAAGACATAATATATATATATATGACTGTTTGTGTGACAATTGATACAATAATCACATTATATATATAAAAAAGTGTGACAATTATTGTAGATTCATGCACATTAATGGGTCATCAAATTAATGTAAGAGGCTCTTGATCTAATCATAGGGAATATCTATGTATGTATGTATTGATACAAATAAATTAGATATAATTATATGTACACACATGATTTAAGGATAAAATCCTAATTATAGTTAAATTTGCGACGCTATGCTGTTTTTATATATCCTTTCAGGATTGAAAACAGAGACCAACATCGGTTAGATGAGAATATCGACAAAGGGATCGTCTTAGACAATATAAGGAACATGAAGCATAATATATATTGTAACCATCAAAATATATCCCAAAGCAAAAGATTTCATGGTTCGGACAAAGATAGATTTGACACATGTGGGAGCCTATGCTCCACACAAATACCACCCACCCACCATTCTTGGTCCATTCGAGTCCACGACTTCCATGTTTCTTCTCCTTTGATAATAATAATAATAATAATAATAATAATATAAATTTGAGTGTCCTAGTTGGACTAAAAGCGTGGAGAAGAAACCAACAATTGGTGGTCGAGAGGTGAAAAAGTCATCATCAAGGTTATAAATTCGATTCTAGTGGTGGAGAGGAATGTAATTTATGGATCAAAATGGTCCATATACAAAGACTTGTCTCACATCTAGGGTGGATTTAGTCGGGTCGAAGACCCGAGGAACCATGTTATAAAAAAAATTTTTTGAGAAAAATATTCACCTGAATTTCTCCGATTCTTTGTAACATATAGGTGAATATAATGTTGAGTGAATTTCTGGATTATCCAATAAAAAATAAATAATAATAATAATAACCATTACAAATACACGTAACATGAAAGAAATAATCCTAGATAAACCAAGATTAGCTCATTTGATGTTCTATAGATCACATCATTTGAGAGATAATTAGTTCGACTATTTCACAAATATTGCCACCAATTTGCTCAAATCAATTTGACTAGAAACAAATTAAACTAAGTCATAACAGCAAAGAACCAAAGCAAATTGATAGATCAGAAGCATTGTTTCAATCTTATAGTGATACATTAGGTTATATGTATATATATATATATATATATGCTTCTTCTGTAATGATTTCTTTCATCAGAAACCAACGAGACTTGTTATTAACTAAGCTCCATCCTCATCCCCGATGGGTTGTACGATATCATATGCTTTCTCATTTTCATCGTCCTTGTCTTCAACTAAGGCATAAACCACGGCCGTTCTTGATGGTGCGTAAACCATGAACGAACATGGACGGCCATCATACCAACCGTCCTGGATCATCGTCGAGGTTTCCAGAAAGAAAAAAAATGATTAATTAAATGATCGGATAATAACATTATAATCAGGTTAGTGGACGATGATGATGGTTAGTCAGTCCATTCGGGTAATAATCGAAATGTGCTTACAGAGGTGAAGAACTCGGCATCGTGGTCCAGCCTGCTGAAGCCTCCGAACAGAGGATCGTCTGAATCCAACACGATCTGAAAGTGAAATACAATGGTTATATTCGCGTAAATAATCCGACAGAACAAAAATGGATAATCTTAGTTTTCCCCAAAGCATCTGATATAGGAACTTGTTCCTACAAGTTAGGAGCTTGTTACCTTGTATTTCCCGGATTTTGCACTGCCGATACGGTAATCGAAGTAGCTGTTACTCCAGTGGAAGTTGAAGACAAAGACGAGATTGCCCCTCTCGAAAACGATCATTCGGTCTCCTTCGTCTTTCCGCGATATATATTGATGCTCGGAAGTCATGAACTGAGGAAAGCAATATCAGAAAGAACAAGCCATCCTTTATTTTGGATATGGTGTTTTCCGATGAATTCGGGGGAAAGATGTAGAGATAGAAGGATAAATTTAACTTACAGCGTATTCCTCTTCGAGATGCTGCATAGCTTGATCAAATTCTTGCATTCCTCGGTATCTGAGATAGTTGGCATCCCCCTATCCACATGATGATAGCTCGAAATTTACATGTTGATATGGGAACACATATAAACATTCATCTTGAAATATTTGTAACTTTGATAACATTACTGCCTAGTGAAAACTAAATGCTTTAAGAGAGCATATGAATCATACGCAGAGGCGGACCGAGTGAGTTTTCAGTTTTCACATTGTGACAGAAAGACTTACGAGATCAAATCTACGGCGGCATTTATCGTAACTGAAGTTATTCCCAGGAATCACAGAGCCATCAGGAAGACGCTGATCGCCTCTGGGAAAGTCGATCCATTCTGAAAAAAGGCATGACAAGAAAATCACACAACTTAAATATAGAGATAGAGTTAAGAGTTTCGATATGGTTCCATGTATGTGATGGAAGATTCCGAGAAGACAATATTGAAAAACACGGTGAACATAGTAGCCAAAGAGAATTACCCGGATGCCCGAATTCATTCCCCATGAAATTTAAATATCCTTCACCGCCTAAGCCCATTGTTATAAGCCTTATCATTTTGTGCAGTGCTATTCCTCTGTCAATAAGAGGAGTTGTTGGTCTGTCTAGTGCCATGAAATCATACATATCCTGCCAAATAGCAACATGAATTCGTTCACATCATTCCAGAAAGCGTTTTACAATATATAAACGAGGCAACGCTAGAAAGACATAATTATTATCCTCTAAGCTACGATACTAATGAAAACAAACAAGAGAAAGCAAAAAATAATACTTGGAAATGTATGAACATTCAAGATCAGATACACGGAAGGGAGAGTCAAAACTATACCTTATCCATTAACCAGAAAGCAATTGTTTTATCACCAACAAGGGCTTGGTCATGGCTCTCGGCATAAGCAATACAATTTTCCAGCCACCTTCTGTTGGTGAGTGTGTGAATAATATCACCCATTTTCCAGTCTTCATCCCTTGTCCTACACGAAAGAACCAGGAAGAAAGTAGGACACTTTCAAGCACAAACACTACAGCAGATTTGAATGAAAGATCAAGGCATGAAACCTGAAACTTACTTGAAAATTTCTATCCACTTATCGGCAATTGCCATGTGAAGACGGTAATCAAATCCAACACCCCCATCTTGGACAGGAATGCAGAATGTCGGCATACCACTTACCTGAAAAGAAACTACCTCGTCTTAACAAAGATGAAGTCTCTAGAGATTCTGATCATAGAACAAGTCGTAGCCAGTGTTAAATCTCTACTGAGTATGGTAAGCAGTAGCAAAGAGTATGGTAAATCACTGAAAGACTAGATTGCTTTGGTAGTCATAAAGAAGAAGAAGGTTTCACAGAACTTACATCTTCGCCAATGGTAACAGCTTCAGGGTAGAGACCATGGATCATATCATTTACCAGCATCAGATAAACCACGGCATCCACATCTGTCGCATATCCAAAGTATTCATTGTAATTGCCAGTAAATCCTACCTATCACAAGCAAAAAAATGAAAGCTCAAACCATCAAAGTCAAGCTATAAACATGAAAGCTAAAAAGAAACAGGAAGAGAGAAAAGTACAAAAATATGGGCACAAATGTGTCATTTGTTTCAGCAAGAATTAAGTACCCCAAGTCCATGATGAGTATACATCATTGAGGTGACGCCATCAAATCTAAACCCGTCAAACTTATATTCTTCTAGCCACCACCGTGCATTCGAAAGGAGAAACCGTAATACCTAAATAAAATAAGGTAGAAAAACTGTTAATATCAGTGATGATGATAAAGAGGGCTGGTTCTTCATGATACTCTGACTAAGATTCTGTAACAATTTATGTACCTCCCAGCTACCGTAATTGAAAAGGCGAGAATCCCACATCCAATGGTTTCCCCGAGCTCCGGAATGGAAGTAGTGAGCATCAGTTCCATCAAACATGTTCAGTCCATCCAACGTATTTTTGGACGCATGGCTAGAAAGTTTAAAGAACGTATGAGTTCAGAGACCAGTTGGATGATTTCTACATGACGGTTTTCTCTCATGAAAAGTGTCACTACCTATGAACAATATCCATCAGAACAAGAAGGCCTAACTCGTGAGCTCTATCTATCAGTGATTTAAGATCTTCCGGGGTCCCAAAACGGCTGCTAGGAGCAAAAAAGTTTGTGACATGGTACCTGCAACGTGTAATAGAAACTGTTATGCTCTTCAGACAGCTAAAACAGAGTTCAGAACCCCAAAACAATTTGCTGCAAATACAGCGGTTCCTCCATCAACCAATGGATCAAACAATATAAGTCTTGTGGATTCTGTTAGAGCAATACCCGAAGCTGGCGTAATATGAATGTTCTTGTATAGCCATGATTTGGACGGCATTATAGCCAAGCCTTTTGATACGAGGAAGTACATCGTCTCTGAAATTAGCATATGTATTAATAATAGGTTCCTGCATCCCATGTACAATGGCATCGTTGGCGTCAGTTAGAAAAAAATCGTGAAATGAAAAAAAGCCAGAAAAGAGTAGAAAGCATAGTAACGGTTTATAATGGAGTGGTCATATGGGCATATTTGTCTGTAGTCTCTTCTGCATATTGACTGAAGAAGAAGAAAGGCGTACCGTGCTACTCATGCCAATATGTGATTCATAAATTCTCAGTGATTTAGGTCTCCTTGGTTGAGGATTCTTGAACACGTACTTCTCCTGAAAAAAAGAATAGTGCCATTAGCAACTGAAGGTGGCTGAAAGGGACGAACATATTATCTGATGATGTTCATAGAAACACCAGCAATAAATCATTTCCAACATGTAAAAGCGTACACTGGATGTGTTTTATTAATTGTTCACATCATACAGAGAAATAGAGTCTTAATCTATTGTTTCTAACAATAGACATGCCAGAACTGGATTCTCCAATGAAGAGCACAAAGCCTTCTAAATAAAAGATCAAACTTATCCATAAAGTTGACCCTCAACAAATTTCAACAACATGACATGTTACTAGTATTTACAATGAGCTAGTTAGACAACAGAACACAGAATCGTACCTCTTCTGGTGGATCATAGTATATGCCATTGTATGGGATTTCACCAGGAGCTTGCACTGAGAACTTGATCCAAGCAGGGATTGAGTCTTTGATTCCAGATGGAGTATCCATGCGAATCTACAGAGACATGCATCAGAACTCATTTTATGGTCAATACATACAATACCACAAACTCAAAATGCAAGAAGGCCATATACACATTGCAGATCTATGAAACGCATACGCCATGACCCATAAAAGACATGTCTAGGCATTGTAGACCCACTCAAAAACATATCCAAACTTGAGCATCCAAATAGATTACCTTTACACGTGATCCATGAGGTATCGCGGGTGAACCATCAGCGTTGTCGGGCAAAAAGATCTCCCAGACACCAAATTCTTTCTGTTATAAATTCGATGGAATAATCATCAAGAAAACTTCTCCATCACTCTGTACGATTTTATTAACTATGAAGAATTTAAGCAAACTAGTCTGCACAAAATACCTGAGCCATGACATCTGCATTAGGATTCCAGTTGTTAAAGTCTCCAATAAGTGACGCAGACTGAAACAAGCAGGATACATGTTTCATCAGAATCATATGCAAAGCGACATACATAACCAAGGGATAAATGATTCCATGTAGCATATGAAAGCGCAGTAACAAAGATGAAATGGGAACTATCACCTATAAACCATATTCTCCTCTTTTTCATTTCTAGCTAATATTGTAGTATCGCCCATTAGAAAATTGTATAAACTAAACTATCTGATATTTCTCACATGATCAATGCTTGTATTTCTACCAAACAATGATGGAAGTAAAAACTCCAGTTCAGTCCATATGACACAGAGAACCAATAATTTCTTTTGCAGGCACAAATGTGAAGCAATTAGTCCATCTATGAAGGCCTTCTATTCTCCAGAAATATCGGTAACAGTCGTAAATGAAGAACCTAAATAATATAACTTAAGTAAACATAAAATTTTCAAGCAGAAACTGAGAAACAAACTTTAGCTCCTGGCGCCCACTCTCGGTATGTTATGCCAGTATCACTGAAATCGCAAAAGGAAAAAGTTAAAAACAGAAATAAAAAAGCATATAAACTCGTCTCTACTCCAAAATCATGGGGCGAGGGCTAAGGAAAATGATAGTTTGGTGCCCATGTAGTTTGATGGTGTGCAAAATTTTAATTTCTTCATGTGTTCATGAGTTGCTAAACCACAGGCATAGAAACTCAAAACATGAGAAATCCAGTAACATTTTACATGCCAATTAACAAATAAATACGCAAATTGCCCGGCAACAGTCTGATTGTATAACTTCTGATAAATTTCTTAAGCCATCTAGTTGGTTATGTTACAAGTGATATTAAAACGACGGTGCATCCCGTGGCTGAAACAAACTAAGCTTTGACTTTCTGCTTCAAGCAGATAAAAAAAGGAAAACCGGCAACATATTTATGAGTTGAAAGATCAATAATCTTTTGGTTAGAAACAAGTTGAATTCAAAACATTTCAAATCCTAAGCAAAAGTTGAAACCTAAATATGATATTTTACTAAAGAATCATCGGTAGCAGAGATAGCGGAAAGTTACCTGCGTTGAAATCCTAACTTTTCATAGCCACGGGAGAAGGCCTCCAGACCACCTTCATACTTGTTGATTTCCTCACGCAATCTTCGGTACTGTCCATAACTGCAGCCGAAACAGTTCATGATAATTGTAAGCAATTATTGACAACTAATAACAATCTCTAGCCTTTTGACAAGCTTCAACATCAACTGTTAAAGGTATATCAACTCCAGGGAAAGGGTCAGTAGAATTTCAGACAAAACTCGAAGCAAGCAAGATACAACATTTTTACCGGTAATCAAGATGCTCTCTGTAACTCCTCAGCATGGGATCTATCTCATATATTCGTTTCCCTTCACCAGGTGGAGGAATTACTCTCGGTTTTGCCTCCTTCTCCTTGATAATAACCTTCTCATTAAGAGGAACTCTTGCCTCCTCACTGTGAGCACCATTATCATCGTCATCATCCTCTGTACTCAAAGCAGAAGCAGAAGCAGAAGCATGGTTTTCCTCTCCAACTGTCTCATTCTTGTCCATCGTTTGAGCATTCGGGTCAAGCATCTAAATATTCACATAAAGGGTAAATCAAATCACGCCAGAATCTTCATTATATGCAACACATAAAACGGACATATCCAACAGTTGTCCCCATTATATTCAACTCATAGATTTATGAGAGGAGATAAACATACATCAAGCTGTGAATCTTCTGAAGAACTATTTGGAGCTTCTAGTTGATCTGTCACCAAGGAAGACCCATCAGTAGGGCCGCCGCCTGGTACGAGGACTTTATCAGATGCAGCAACAGCTAATGACGGAGAATCGAAATCTCTAGATGGATTCCCAGCAAAGATCTTCCCTACAAACATTGATCAAGTCAGCATATTCGTACAACCCACATGAAAATACTATCTAATTCCATCTCCTCATATGATCCCAAGTAAACTAATCTAATTCAACAACAGCATAAGTTGCAGCCAAGGAAAGGAGAAGTTCATCTCGCACCAGAGCAATTGGGCATTGCTCGAAAAATTTCCGTACCATGTTTTGTTTCCAGAAAAACTTTTCAAGCTAAACGCTCTTCTCTGTCATCAGAGAATGATCAATTTAATAGTTTTTAGATTAAATAAAACGAATCTCGCGATCAAAAGATTTGATAATATTCATGAAATCTAAGTTGATTTACTAAGTGTGTTAGACCCGTCTCGCAATTCCATAATCAATTTAGAAACCAACATGTATTCAAAATTTTTTCATAGCGATAATTTCGAAACGAAGATCAACGATCAGAGAGAAAGAGAAAGGGGGGAAATACGAGAGAGAGTCTGCTTCTTCAGGAGGAAAGAAACGCTGGAGGTTCTGAGACCGCCATTGAAGCCGGTAGTGAATCGAGTAGAGGATGAAGACGAAGACGAAGACGACGCCAACGGGACAACACCCGGAGACGACACTCCATGAACCACCACCATCTCCGGCTCCGCTTCTCGCCGGCAGCTCCGATAGAGAGAGAAAGCAACAAAACCCGAGAAAACTAGGAAGAGAGAGAGAGTAGTATGACTGAAACCAGAGAGATCTAGAGGAAGGCAATGGGGAAAAAATCTGAGGAAAGAAATCAAATGAGTGGCGGTTTGAGAGAGAGAGAGAGCGGAGGTTTCATATTTTGCAGGGTTTGTACGTGCGATTCAGAGATTGCATGGAGATCAGTGTGGTGGGGCCCATCCAATCCCATCCCTGTCGTCCGTCTTCTTGGGGTTATTATTATTGAATTTATTTATTTAAATAAGAATGATAAACCGTATTTGTATGTTGATTCGACGGTCCAAATGCGAGATGGTCCTTCCATAGAGTATCGTATTATATGGGAAGGAATATCCCACCCACCTATATAGTATATAGTGTACGGACACATGTTATTCAAATTTGCGGTTATGGATTCTTGGTCGGATTCTAATTTTCTTAGGAATAACCATGGTTCGGTCCTATCATTGTTACTATTATTACTTAATTCAAATAATCTAAGAGTTTTTTTTATTATAAAAGTGTTTTCGAAGAGATAATTAGTTTCATTTAGAAAAAAATTAGGGGGTTGTAATTTTTATTGAAATTAGTTCGGATCATGGAATAATTGAGTTCATTGAATTAAAAGTTTTAAATGTGTAATAAAAAATGAAATAAGGATATAACGACTTGGTAAATTTAAGTTATATGATTGCGTTTATCGTAATTCGCCCTACCATGTGGAATATCTCACGCAAGTGGACTTGTTATTTGTAAAATAAAATTATATAATTTTCTTTTTGGGGAACGGTCCAATTTTAGTTCAAAAAGTGAACAGAGATGTTACTCAAAAATAGTACTCTCGGTTAAAATGTCACACTAAGCACCCTCATTTTCTATACAATTCCAAATTCCACCCACGTATTTTACAAAACGATCATTACAGCCCCAATATATCAATTCTATGCAAAAAAAAAACTTGCTCCCGTGACACTCAGATCGGATACGTGATATTTTGAAATCCGATTTTACTGATTTGGAATCCGATTCTGTATTCGTAGAGAACCGATAATCGAAAAATAATATTCAGATACATGAAAAATATCCGAATCTGATTCTCTGTTCTTGATTTCCGACAAAAGTATCAGAACTTTATCCGATGAAAGAATCCGAATCTGAATCCGATAAAAGAATGGAACCAAGAAACCGTGAAGATCCTTGAATCTAAAAGTATTGCATAAGAACTACCCTTTTTACTAAGATGATTTCTGTTTCATCGTATCCATCCACAAATGCGAGGCAAGACGTTAACGCGATTCAACAGAAACAAGAAACCATGAAGATCTTGCCTGAAGGTTTTGTTCAAAGTACTTCCAAGAACCTAACTGGGAAAACTGTAGGTGTCCGTGTCCCGGATAATCTTCTTGGAAGGAAGAACGATTGCCGCAATGGGTTTGTCCGGATATCCGCCACCTTCATCGATGATCAATCTCAGGCCATCGACATGGAGCTTCCCGTGGTGGCCGCTCACTACAATGGTGTGTTCATCATCCAGTTCCTGAAGAATATCTCAAAGAGAAGAGTGTGTCTATCGATCTCTCAGCTCGGTAAAGATCAGTTGCAAGCTCGGTACTTTAATCTTTGTCAGAAAATTTACCTGCGGGATATCCCAGACGTTTTTCCGGCCACTCAGCGGTTGTACTTTCGGGATACTCGTGTCTTTGATCCTCAGACTCTTGAGTTGCTCCTCTATGTTCTTCTTCCCCTTCTCTAAACCACCATGCACTGCTATTAGCTTGCACTGTTTCATCCCTTCCTCTGTTTCTATGTGAACATTTTCCTGCAGAATGTTCTGTATATGAAATTTTCCTATACACAGACAGAATGAAACCTTCTCGTTTCTCTTCACTAATAAATTACTACAAGCACGGATGGTTACGGGAATTTCACGGGATCATTACATGGTGATGAAGTGTGTTTACCTCTTCATGGATCCATACCAGATTGCCCAAGAACTTCTTGTGACTGTCTGGGACAGCCTTCATCAAATCTACACACAGTAAGAAAGATCAAAATGTCATAATATGCCATTTACATGAAACCTTCACATATGCCATACTATGACCTTCAAAAGCTTCTTAGAGATTCAGTTTCCTGTATGCTATGTTCAATGACAACATCAGGAAAGCACAGAAAGTGAAAACCAAATAGAAGCTTAGAAACTAATCTCAGATATCAATGTAGCAATGGCCTCAGAGCTCCTACACTTGTTCTGGATTTTGAATTCAACCAGATTTTCATCGTTTGATGTTTCGTTTCAGAACCCACGTAGCTAATGGAAGCAAATGAGGAAATTTCGAAGCTTTTTTGTACAAAAACCCAGACATTGCAATCCTTCGCCTACCAAAGGATCACCAACGAGATATCAAACAACACAGCAGAATCTATAAACCAGGAACAGAGATCAGAAGAATCGATTACCAGAGGATCCATGAGGAACACCGTACGATTCAAATGTCGGCCCAGCGTCATATATCGAACCTTGATACTCTGTCCCTTTCGAGGCATTGAACTGAACCTTGATTTTTCCAGCCCACCTCCTCGCTTGGAGATGCATATCCTCGTGCCCATCACCTCGATACCACCCTTCTCTCTCCTCGTTGGCCTCGTACTCCTTCCACGCGTCCTTAAAATCCGACCCATCTGAAGGACGTGGCAACAAACCCAGAAACCCAGCGAAAGCGAGATCGTGGTTCCCGGACAGGAAGACGTGGGTCTGGTGGGGGTGTTTCTCCGGCAACGAGATCAGAAAGTCGATGACTTGTCGGGTCTCTGGTCCTCGGTCGCAGTAATCGCCGAGGAAGATGACGAGCGCCGAGCGAAACTCCGATGGGTCGATGGCGGATTCGAGATTAGACCATAGGTTCTTGAGCTTGGAGATGTATCCATGTACGTCTCCGACGCAGATCACGGTTCGTGGTTTCTGGGCCATCACCTTCTTCGCTCCCGTTCTCGTGGACGACAGGCAAAAACCGTAGCTAATGCAAATCGTAATCGGAACAAATCAAATTGAAAGCAAAAACAAAATCTTTTTTTTTTTCTTTGATATTTTTCCCATACCCACCGTCACGGGGTAGTACCGTAGTAGCTATAGTATGATGCTAACGTCATCGATGACGTCGACTCCTAAAAATAAAAATATTCCCCGTGTGAAAGGCATTCACTTCCGGCTAAGATAATATATATTTATAACCCAAAAGGAAAAACTTTACAATACGAATTTGGATTATAACGTTAAAGAAATTCAAATTCGAATTAAATTAGATTTGATTTAATTCAATATACTTTGTTTGCTTTGGGGGATGGAAAATGCACATCCCAAATTAGAACAATATATTTAGAGATTGGAATAATATATTTAAATATTTTCTTACAATCATATTCATAAATAGATAACAAAAAAATAACTTAGATAAAAAAACAAGATAAATGTATATACTTAACATAGTATAATTTTGATATAGATATCAAGAATAATCAAACGGTCATTCTGCCAGTTGGCGGCAATCGAACGGTCAAAAATCCACCACCCTTCGAAATTCCTTTCACACTGTAACATTTCCCCTATATATATAAATCTTTGACCAATCACTCTCCGAAAAGGGGAAAGCCGAAAGGAAAAGGCAAGGGAAAGACGAAGAAGGCTCAATTTTGGATCGCATCAATGGCGGAAGAGAAAAGCTTCAAGTACGTTATCGTCGGAGGTGGTGTCGCCGCCGTAAGTCTTTGTCTCCTTCCGTATTCGTATTTCTCTTTCGATCATCATCGTTTCTCTGTCGTGTTTTGTTCTCGATTAAAAGCAATACGATTCATTCGTGTACGTGTTTTTGTCTTCTTTTAAGGGTAATTGCTCTGTATTTGTTTGTGCGATCGTGGATTACGTTTGATGGGATTTTCTAGTTCGTATCTCCGTACTCCGTGAAAGTTGCTTGTTCCTCAGATCTGGTGTTTCTCATGATCTGCTTGATTTCTGTCTCCGAAGAACTTGGAAGTAGATGATGATGATGATGATGATGATGACGACGATATTTCTCAGCTCGTTGAAATTTGAAATTTTCCCTGTTTGCTTCAATAATTGTTGAAATCTTCTCAATTTACACCTTCCTGTTTATCGGAATCATCTACTGACGTCTTTTTTCTTTGTTCTTCTTGTATTGTGAATTACAGGGATATGCGGCGAGAGAGTTTGCGAATCAGGGTCTTAAGCCTGGTGAACTTGCGATCATTTCCAAGGAAGCCGTACGACTTCTGAACATTTCTGAGATCTCCTTGTAAAAAAAAAAACAAAACATTTCTGAGATCTGAGCTGTTTTCTTGGTTGATATGAGCCTGGAAATGAAATTGAATCATCGAAATCGAGCTTCTTAACTAGATAATCGCTTAAAAGATTCATTGCTTCTTAGTTCTTGAGCATTTAGGCTAGTTGTAGGCTTGTAGCAGTTAATTTCTTGAGCCCTGTTTTCATTTTTCTGCGATCCTTATGTCTGGCAATTTTATTTTGACAGGTTGCACCTTACGAGCGTCCTGCTCTTAGCAAAGGATATCTTTTCCCTGAAGGTAAAAGTCTTGCTCCATCCGTGGTTCTTACATTTCGATTTACATATAAGTTGGGTTTGGTTGATAACATTTAGCGTTCTTAAAAGTAGTGTTTCCGTTGTTTCCTTATGCAGGAGCTGCTAGACTTCCTGGTTTCTATGTCTGTGTCGGGAGTGGAGGGGAGAAATTGCTCCCAGAATGGTACACCGAGAAAGGTGATTTCTCGATTTTCATGGGCTTCTGGTGATTTCAGCAGCCGTATTGAATCCACATCTCTCTGCTCACATCGTTTCCGCGGTTGTTTTTTTGTTTACAGGGATTGAGCTTATATTAAGCACAGAGATCATCAAAGCTGATCTTGCCGCTAAGACTCTTGTCAGTGCTTCAGGACAAGTCTTCAAGTACCAAACTTTGCTAATTGCAACTGGTTCTTCTGTGAGCACATTCAATCTATCTTCTTCTTCCTCCGTTATATGTTCATCTCTATGTCTCTCTTATCTAATGAAAGTTTTGAACTTTACAGGTCATAAGATTGTCAGACTTCGGGGTCCAAGGTGCAGATGCTAAGAACATATTCTATCTGAGGGAAATCGAGGATGCTGATAAACTCGTGGAGGCCATCAAAGCAAAGAAGAACGGAAAGGCCGTGGTAGTCGGTGGCGGTTACATTGGTCTTGAACTTAGTGCAGCCCTCAGGATTAACAACCTCGATGTTTCCATGGTTTATCCCGAGCCTTGGTGTAGTAAGTGGATTCCACCCCTTTCCCATTTTGTAACCCAATATGCAGAAGTTGACATACGTTGGTAACACAGTTTCTTTCTTGAAGTGCCTCGGCTTTTCACGGCCGGAATCGCTGCTTTCTACGAGGGTTACTATGCCAACAAGGGAATTCAAATCATCAAGGGAACAGTTGCAGTCGGTTTCAGCACCAACTCTGATGGAGAGGTTAGCATCATTGGTTCAAGAAATCTTTTCTCCATTCCATTGCTATGTGTACTGAGACATCTTTGGAAACCGACATTAATCGAGGTTTCTCACATCATTGTACAGGTCACGGAAGTGAAACTAAAGGATGGTAGAACACTAGAAGCTGACATTGTAATCGTGGGTGTCGGTGGTAGACCTCTGATATCGCTCTTCAAAGGGCAAGTTGAAGAGGAGAAGGGTGGATTAAAGGTCTCAGTAAATTTAAAGCTACCTCTTCTGTATCTCAAGTAGTTTGACTTCACATAAACAGAACAGAGAGGTCTTACATCATTTCCTTTGATTTTCAGACTGATGCCTTCTTCAAGACAAGCCTCCCCGATGTGTACGCAATTGGAGATGTGGCTACCTTCCCCATGAAAATCTACAACGACGTAAGGCGCGTTGAGCACGTCGACCATTCTCGCAAATCAGCTGAGCAAGCCGTCAAGGTATGCTTCCATTCCAATTGAAACTTCACATCGTTGAATTTTTCGGATACCGGAAACGTGTCCAGCACCAAAAATTTTGTCATATAATGGTGTTATCCTCTTGAATTTGGTAGGCGATCAAGGCTGCGGAGGAAGGGAAGTCAGTGCCGGAATACGACTACCTCCCGTACTTCTATTCCCGAGAGTTTGATCTCTCGTGGCAATTCTACGGTGACAATGTCGGGGAAACCGTGCTGTTTGGAGACAATGACCCGAAATCGCCAAAGCCAAAGTTTGGAACGTACTGGGTGAAAGACGGGAAAGTTGTCGGAGTGTTCCTGGAAGGAGGAACTCCGGACGAAAACAAGGCTATAGCGAAACTCGCACGTGCCCAGCCCGTGGTCGACAGCCTTGACGTGCTTTCCAAGGAAGGTCTATCCTTCGCCAGCAAGATATGATTCCAGCCTAGAAGAGAGGGAGAGAGATGGGACATGTTCCATTGTTTCCAGTTTCATTGTTTGAGTTTATATGACGCACCTGCTTGATTCTGATTATGATTGCGAGCGAGATATAATATAATGGTTTTGTTTCAGCTGATTTAATCACTAAATTATTGATTTAATCACTTCAGAGGCTGTGGTTAAGGCTTCAAACTGGATGTCTGACACTCCGTATCTCATATGATTTGCTTAAGTGAAAATGGAAAAACAAGGTTTTTCTTTTCATTTTCCTTCAATTATTATTATTTCAACAACACTGATCCAAACAGAAACAAGCTGTGAATGGAGGAAGAAGAACTCTAGACTCTGTCCTCTTCTCAAGTGAAATGGTGGTCTGGCTTGAACAAAAGAATCGGACTTCTAACTCTATGCCCTCTTAAATCGTTCCACTGCAGAGAACCAGACACAACTCCAGTCCAGTTCTTCACCCAAACTCCATTGATCACAACCTTGAACGACCTTCTCTCCCCAGGCCTTACGAATCTCAGAATTCTCGGCCTGACCTCCACTTTCATACCCTTTGGAGCCCTGACTCTGGCCACGTAGACCGAGTATCCGAACCCCACATTCGTCACCGTTCTGTAGAAAACCGCATTCACTCTCTTATCCGTCGGTCTCAGCTGCTTGTGCATCGAAGGGTAGTTCAAGCCATCGGTTCCAAGCCCGTGTTTGAAGTCTTTGCACTTGTACTCCTTCCTCCCTCCGACAAGAACTCTGATCATTGTGTCGTTGTATTTTTCCTTGCACAAGTATCTGATGTATGAACTCATCGAGTTGTCGTATACTACTTCTCTTCCTCTTAAAATAGGCTCTGGAGAAAATGTTTCAGCTTCTGCAAGATGGAAAAACAGATGGTGAAAAAGGGTGATGGATGGATGCAATTGCGGTGTCAGCCAGCATACGAAAAGGGCATTCGGACCTTTTATTTCTCGATCGCTCTCCTCCTCTACAGGCTGCTTTAAATTATGGTCGCTTTCCATCTTCTCTTCATCCTCGGAGGATTGCTCGAGGCGTTGCAGATGTCTTTCCCTTTCACTCTCATCGGTTTAGCTGTCCATGAGCCGTTAACGTTCTTGGTTAGGACAGAGATTCGCAGGGTTTTGAATATGAGTTTTAAGCGTTTGTTGTTTACCTGTTGTCATGAGGGCGGATTTGATTGCGGCTGGAGACCAGTTAGGATGGAAGGATTTCACGTAGGCTGCAGCCGCGGTGGCATGAGGACAAGCCATTGATGTTCCGGACAGAATACTGTACAAAGTTTGTCTTTTGTCGTCTGGATAACCGGTTATTGATGCAAACTTCGAGTAAGCAGCGAGGATGTTTAGCCCCGGTGCTGATAAATCAGGCTGTCCAAAATCAGGTTGGAACGATCATTTGAAGCTATATATATATAAGACTGTATATATGTATATATATATATATATATATATGTATGACGAGAGAGAGAACGAAACGAGACGGGATTTCGAGGAAGACGGACCTTGAGAATGTCGGGGCTTATCAGTTGAGGCCCTCTTGATGAGAAGGAAGCAATGGAAGGAGCTACAGTTCTAACAGATGTTGTCTTGTGGATCACAGCTCGAGGGTTCCTGTCGAGTTCGTGAATCAGACACCCAAAGCTATATATACATATATATATATACCCATCGGATCCAAAATTCAAGAAACGGGTTTTGGAGACAGAAGTGAGAAAGTGATCTGACATACTTAGTCGAGTTGATGTAACGAGAAATGGCGGCTCCATCTCCGTAGGAGACGTAAGTAGCAGAGATGAGAGTGGCAGAGGCAATGTCTGTCGGCTCCTCCAGCTGTATAATCACTCCTTCTCCTCTCAAGTTCTTGATGTTGCTGTCCTGTCCTGAACTCCCTTCTTCGCAGTACACTACTCTTCCCTTCACTTTGTCTTCTCCCATCGTCCCGTAATCGCATAAACTGCAATTTCTCAGTTGCTTTTGCTTAACGATCGATCAAAAAACACGATCCCCAGAGATAGATCTTGATAGATTCATGAAAGGAAATGATGAGATTATGGATTACCTAGGGTTTCCATAATCGTCTTCGGACACGTTCGACGCGAGAAAACCGCTCGTTAGAGGGTACATTTTCTTCTTTGGTGAGAATGTGTTCAGAGAAATTCCCTAAAAAAAAAAAAAAAAAAAAAAACAGAAAGTTTCAGTTTCAGACAAGAACTCTCTTCATCGTCATAGAGATAGATATTGCAATTTAAACCCCTCTACTTTCTTGGTTTCCCACTTCAGCCCCTTGACTTTCTATTGTTAACGCCTTTTCCCCGTAATTTTCTTAGTTAACATAACCCAATGTCGGTTATTAACTGTAATTCTGTATAAAAATTAATAGCAATTCATCGTTACCCATAACTTTCTTTGATTACACAAAATTAACCCAATCAATCATTAACCCTTCATTCCAACACAACAAAATTCAATCCGACAAAAGATGGATCCATTTCAACGAATCTTGGAAACTGCTATGGAACAAACAAATCAGTTCATCAACGAAACGTTGAAAGAAGCTTACCGGAGCAGAGAGGCCATTGCCGAGCTTGACAAGGGTCTGAAACTTGCGGTCCAAGCTACTGGCAGCGACGGTCATGATCCACGGCGCTGAGTTGGCGACGGTGAAGAGATCGGGACCGTTGTTACCGGCGGAGCAAGAAGTGAGAATACCCTTCTTCATGGCGTGAAATGCTCCGATCGCAATCGGGTCTTGAAAATAAGTGCTGGAAGCTCCTCCAATGGAGACCGATATAATGTCGACTCCATCCCAGATTGCTTCGTCGAAAGCTGCCAACAAGTCCATGTCCGAACACCCATCTTCCCAACAGACCTTCGAAACAAAAAAAACAAAATGTCAGCAAAAAAAAAAAACTCAGCTTTTTTGAGGTTATGGGTTTTCGAGATTAGGGTTTTTTTTCTTCTGAAGAAATGGGTTTGAAGAAGGAGAAGACCTTATAGGCGGCGATCCGAGCAGAGGGGACGCCACCACGGGCGGTGCCGTTGGCGATTCCGTAGAAACTTGCGGCAGAGACAGAGATTCCGGCGACGGTGGAGGTGGTGTGGGTGCCGTGGCCGTCTTCGTCGGCGGCTGAGAACTTGTTCTTTTCACCTGGGTTTGGGTATTCCAGACGGAAGTACTTGGCTCCTATGACTTTGCTGTTTCACCAACAAGCGAACAAACAAAAAAAACAGGAAAAATATGATGTCTTGAAGAAGTTGCAGATGCAAATACAGATGAAAGTGAAAGTTGTAGCAGTGAAAGTAGGTTTCTTGGATCGCAAGTAATCACTCCATCCAACTGCTAAGAATTAATGGTGCATATCATTATTCACTGTACAAGGTAATGTTTAAGAGTAATACATGAAGAGCTTATGTTAAATTATTTAATATAATGACAAGAACGCACTTATACATACTTATTGCAATGAGTGAGGTTAGGACCAGTGACGCATTTGCCTTTCCATCTAGCTGGAGGAGGGCCAAAGCCCTCGTCCTTAAAGCTCGGCGATTCCATGTAGATTCCTGCCATCGGATCGAAAAAGAAATCCATCAAAAACTGATCATGGAATCAATCAAATGTTTTCTTTTTGGATTCAGAAAAACCGAATTTAATTACCGGTGTCAAGAACACCAACAATGATGTTGCTCTCAAAGGGTATCCTCCTTTGGTACTTTGATTCTTTCATGCCAAGAAAATCCCATGATCTTGTCGTGTGAAGCTTTCTTCGAGTGCTCTCAAACACCGATACCACTCCTTCTTCCCCTGTTACAACCGCCGACAATATCTCATCAACGTTACCAGACATATATATGTGTACATACTTGATGAACTGAGAATTTCAGAAACGTTTTTCGTATTTACGTGAAAGTTTCTCGGCTTCATGTGGTAGAAGCCTGGCTGCAAAGCCATTGATGCTCTTTCCATAGCTATGTATTCTGACTTCTCTTGCTCTTCGTTCACTGCAACAATGACGAATACAAAACGTTACAAACACGTAATAATCACAGTATACTGTCTCTATAAATCATGAGTACAGAAGCTGAAAGATTTACTCTCCGATCGCTGTCAATAGCAGATTGTGATGGTGTTCGAGGGAATTAGGGTTAGCACCCGGAACCGGTTCTCCCATGTAAACGATGTAAGGCTAAAGCCACACAAGAAAACATTCGAGAAACTCGTCAAGAACAACGTGTGTGTGTGTATATATGTATATATATATGTATGTATGTCTTGTGATGTTTTTTTTTTTTTCTCAAGAACAACTTACCTTTCTCTCTTCGTTCCCATCATCTGATGCTGCCTCCGAGGCGACGTTAAAGAGGTAAAAACACAGTACGAACACTCTAAAACGCGGATTTAGTGTTATCTTCATAGAGGTGTATAGATTAGTGATTTTAATTGGGGATAAGGCAGAGATTAGCGGTTTGTAATGAAGGGTTTGCGAGAGGGTTAATAATAATGGGGAAGAAGATGCTAATGGCCACTAATTGTCGTTCAAGCTTTTTTAAGCCAAGTCTCTTGCCTTGGACTGCGAGTTTGGCGGCTCTTTATTAGGATCTTCCTCTCCCTTCGTGTAGTGCTGCAATTTTTTCCAACTATTACACGCATTCGTAGCAACATTTATTTCTCGCCGGTCCATTTTTTTTCCAATGCTTTCCATATTTATATCTCTCAAGACGGTAATCACCATGCAACCGACTTCATGGACCATCACCACCACTCCGCATTATTGACCTCAGTGTTGTACGATACAATACTCACCACCCAAACGATTTCCCCATTTGCAAACCCTTTGAACATCGCACGAGAGAGACCTTAAATGTTGGGGTAAACGAATCCGACAATCGATTAAATGATTTATCACGATCAATTTTTTAAAAAAATGATTAGGGTTTTTGGTATTGAAATGAGGAGTCGATGTATAAATTTGTTCTCGTGGATGGACACGGGCTTAGGGTTTCTGAGCGTACACGTAATATGTTCCAACTAGACTGAGTTTACGATCGATCTTGCATGCATGCACTTGTTGGGAGATTGCAGAAACCGACCAAAAAAGGAGATCATCTCCTGTATCGATAGCGTTTGAAGTTGAAGTAGAGGTGCAATATCCCACGCTCGAACGTACACTTGAACCCTTTCTTGTGCGAGTACTCCCATTCTTTGTTCACTATCCTAAACGCCTGACCACAAAAACGATATATATATAATATCAAGAGCCCGCGAATTTATCCAGAGTTTCAGACAGGAATACTGATTAAGAGAAACTTACAATGTCTTCGTAAGGAGGACCGGCATGGAAGCGGATCATACAAGTTTCTGCACTGTCCCCATCTTTCTCGATTGTATAGGTTGGAGCTTTGATCTTGTCCACTAAATCCGGGTAGAAGATGTTGAATTTATAACCCTGTACGATCTTCGGAGGCGGGTTATCGTGATCGTAATGCGTCTGGTTGTACTTGTTCCACTCGTATCCCGTATGGACACGGTTGAAGTACTTTGGTTTCCTCGGCCTGTACTTGTCATGCCACCAGTATACCTAACAGAGAAAGTCCATCATGTTCATGTTTTTAGTTCAGTGTTTCATGAAGGGCAGTGATGAAATTTTGTGTTGAATGATTTTCAACGGTGGTGGTACCTGTGAATCAAGGTTGACTTCGGCACCTGAGCCGAATACCGCATCACCTTCCTCCATTGCTCCCATAGCTTTCATGGCTTTCAGCTCGAAGTTATCTTCTGATGGTGCTGGTTTTGATGATGACATTGCTTCTTTGATGCGTTTCTGCTGTTCTTCCATGACAGCCATACGTCTTCTTTCCTGATTGTGGAAATTGTATTTACGTAATTGAATCATCCGACACAGTCTAAATGGGCAAATACTAAAGATGAAAACGAGAAGAAAAAAACGTTACCAGTATCTTCTTGTCTTCTTCGGGATCAATAGCTTCTTCATGGTCATCTCCATGCATGAGCTCTGGCGAAAATGAACCCGCCTCTTCTGCTGCTGTATCAGCTTCTTCTTCTTCCTCTTCTCTTCCTCTTAAAATAGGCTCTGGAGAAAATGTTTCAGCTTCTGCAAGATGGAAAAACAGATGGTGAAAAAGGGTGATGGATGGATGCAATTGCGGTGTCAGCCAGCATACGAAAAGGGCATTCGGACCTTTTATTTCTCGATCGCTCTCCTCCTCTACAGGCTGCTTTAAATTATGGTCGCTTTCCATCTTCTCTTCATCCTCGGAGGATTGCTCGAGGCGTTGCAGATGTTTCCTCAGCATCTTAGCATGTATTTCCTTCAAGCAAGCCTGCCAAAAACTCAAGTGATAATTGAGTATCAATCAAAACCCTAGTCTCCATTTCAAGAGCCTAAAACCGAAATCATCATAAGCAGACCTATTACCTTTGCCTTGTATATGTGGAGGCGCTTAAGAACCGCCTCCCAATACTCGACTACTTTCGCTGAACCAGAACGAAGCTGTGACTCGATGTCAGATTGCAGCTCTTCGAGTTCCTTATGAGTCTTCCCGTCCAAAAGTCTTTTGACGTCAGCTTCTACACCGGAATGCAGTCCCCTTTCTTGCGCAAGCAATTCAGCGGGAGGTTCCTCCCCTCTAACCCTAGCTCGGTCCAGTGCATCTCGTTTACGAGCTTCAGCTAGCTCCCAGTCACATACCACCATTAGTGCCTGGAAATGTTAAGCTTATCAGTATTATCAATCCGATAAATTCGTTGGGAATAGGAGGTTTATGCATATAACTTAACCCAGCACAATCATATGATTAGGCACTCGGTTTTCCATATAGATTTACGTATGTAAAAACTGAAATAAGAGCAAGCAGGGCCATCAACCACCAGAAAGAACATAATCGATGGACTCAAATTCCAGATATTCACAAGCATTTCTTTTCCACTGAAAACAATAGTTGTCCCACATGCAAGAGTCAGACTGATAATGAAGCTGCATAGTAATTACTTGCAATTTGCATATTTGCAGAAGGAAAATACCTCCCAATATTGTACATGAACAGGAGTCGCTCGATCCAAATCCAAATACATTTTGATGTCATCACGAAGCTCTTCCATCTCCTTAACCGTCAAACCCTGCATCATACATATCAAAAGAGTGTATGTAATCAAAGCAATCACACTAATCTCACTGATTCCAGAATGTGATGGATGAACATAATATGAAACTGAAACTACGATCAGAAAGATTCTATATTCCTAAACTAAAAAGCTTCTAAAACATAACGGAGTCGGGTTATTTTACAAAAATTGTAGTGATATTTTTACCTTGAAAACCATATATGGTTCACTGAGTTCAATATCCACGTCATCCGAACCATCAAGATGTTTACAGAGGATGTCGATTGGCTTTGTGCGCCCTTCTTGCAATCTAATCTGAGATCTCACCTTGCTTTGATCAAAATGGAACTGCATATTGCACAGATCAGTTAGACAATCTACACCAACCTATGAAATCTATATACCAAAGTGCCATAAATCGCAAAATTCATTAGAAAGAGAAATATGTTGACAGAAAGCAAAAGAAATACAGCATTATACCTCCTCCTCTTTCTTCTCCCAGTCCTGGAATTCAGCTCGAGCACGTTCTCTGGCCAATAATGCCTGTAGAATGCCATCATTGTTTTAAAAAAATAGAAACGCAAGTATTAATCAAACCAGAAAAATGTGGGGAAATCCGAAATCTCGTTCCATATTTACCATTTCTTCCTCGTGCCTTGCTTTCTCCAGTGCTCTCTCTTCTCTCCTCTTTTTCACCTTTTCGATCTCAGCCTGAATAATATTATCATAATAGTCAGTTTAATAATTGAACGAAAACCTTGGTACAGCTATACTCAGAATTCAACAACAAAGACCTACCACCAAACTACACATCGTAAAATTCAAAAGGGACAGAAATAAAAGTTCCCTGGCATCACGAATGTTAACCATACATACCATCCTTTCTCTCTGTCTTCTCTTCTCGGCTTTGATGGAGAATTCGTCTAGTGGCACTCCTTGTTGAACATCTCGTTCAATCTTCTTGCGCCACACAAATCTGACATTAAATGTTAACACTTTCTGAGTTGCAGATTCTTCTAAACTAGGTTACTCTTATTCCTAAGAATAAGAAGATTAGCTAATAATCAAACTCCACACATAACCTTGCTTGCGAATTTCTAGATTTTTATAAGCAAACTAGAAATAAAAGAAATCATATATTCTACTGCATTTCTGCCCTGGTCAATTAAAACGTACAATCCTCTTCGTGCAACACCCTGTTGAAAAACTTACACCAGTAACCAACACTACTTGCAGAATATGAATCAGACAACTGACAATTATCTATCGTTCCTAAATTACAAACTTTCATTGAATCACTTACTTTTCGTTAAGATTCGAATCCCCAAATGGGTTTGAATCATTTGAGTAACCCGATACTGAATGTGCCTTCAGCTTCTTCGCTGCTCGTAATGCCTACAGAGAATTCAACAAACACCAAAAGTTAGCAAAGAGCGTCACCACATGCAAGAAAAAAACAGTGAACTTGAAAAACAAACCTTCTTCTGAGCTTTCTTAGCCAAATACTCCTTTATTTCCTCTTCTGTAATCTTCCTGGACGAACTCTTCTTCCTATCCCTTCGTCCACCATCACTATCATCTGAATCCACATCCTCACTCAAGCTCCGGTCTCTGCTACGATGACTACTGCTCTTGCTCCTGCTTTTCTGCTTCCTCGATCCCCTCTCCGGCGAGGAATCGTCCGAGTCAGAGTAGGACAACTCAGACGCGGATGGGGGCTCGGATTCCGATTCCTCGTCTCTCCTCTTCTTCTTCTTCCCTCTTTCCTCTCTATCTCTTTTACTCTTGCCGTGAGAACCCATTTTCAGATTCTACTAGACGAGGACACAGATAAAACGTGATCAGCCAGTTGTGTCAATCGAAACCTCAAGTCGAGCAAAGGAAATTGGAAGAGAGAACCCTAAATCCTAATCAAATTTCCAATCACACCATGCACTTCACTACCCCGTAAATTCAAGAACTTGGAAACCCAACTCTCTTCGTCAATCAGAAACAACCAGAACCAAACTCGCGAATCCACTCGATACTTCAGTTACGCCACCGAATCGCACCAACCCTAAACCCCAAAAACCGAAGACCCAGAATCCGAAATCGATACAGGACTCGCGAGCAACGACGAGAATCACAAATAGAAAGCGAAAGAAATAGAGAGATTACCTGAAAGAGGGAGTCGGCGACGGCGAGGGCAAAGCTAGCAGGCACCGATGACAATGAAGGGGAAAGAAACCTTAAAGCAAGAGTTTATAAAAAAAAAAAAAATTAAAGCTAGAGCCTTTTTGTTTTTAACCTTCCTCAGGGTGTGACAAAAAAAAAATCCTCATTTTGTATTTTTTTCCTTTTTTCTGTTATTTCAATTCAGTCCTTCGTGAAGGCGAAAATTAGATCGATTGTCTGTAAAATTTATATCATATGCATGTATAAGTATTTTATAAAATGAATTTTTTCGATTATGACAAAATTGATCCTGAAATTATTTGTCTTTCACATGAAAAGGGTAGTTGAATTTTCAAACAAGATGCCAGTCAGTCTACAGTTGTTGCCAGAATCAAGAATCGCTTACTTTAATCTATTAAGAGTTTCGTGCATCATCAATTTAGCGTCTAACAAATTAATTTCAATTAATTGAGTTTATTTTCCTCTAACAAATTATCAGAATCTTTAGATTCCAAAAAAAAAGGAAAGAGAGCATGATGTGATAATGACACAGCGACAACCACCACCACTCCACCAGTTTCATCTTCAACCACAAGTTCTTTCTGGGAAGACAAAACACAAACAAGATCTTCTCTTTCTTCGTGTCCAAAGACTCTGCAAATGGTTTCCAATTGCCTGAGTCTCCATCTCCATCTTCCTCATCCCCACAAATATAATCACTATCGCTCTCCTTCTTCTTCTTCTTCAAGATTCCATCCAAAGGCTCATGTCTCAATCAAACCTGGATCTGATCCTCGTTGTTCTTCTCTTCTCCACAAAAGATTCAATGGCTCTTATGTACCAAACCCACGAAATAAAACCTTCGGAAGATGCGAATCTCGAGATCAGAAAATGGGGGTGTCAAGCAGGTTCGGTGGATTTTCAGTTTACTGCTCTAGATTCTTCTCATCCGCCGTTGACTCGGATGAACTCGGTTTCAACGAGTCCAAACTCGACCCGAGTCTCACCAACGATGACCTGAAGCCCACTAAACCGAGTCAGAGAACGTTCTCATGGTGGGAGATGGCGAGTCTATGGATAGGGCTGGTGGTCGGTGTACCTTCCTACTACCTCGCAGGCAGTTTGGTCGATTTAGGTATGGCTTGGTGGCAAGGCATAGCTACCGTGGTCGCAGCCAACGTTATCCTGCTCGTGCCACTCGTCCTCACCGCCCAACCCGGTACGATGTACGGAATATCCTTCCCTGTTCTTGCAAGATCATCGTTCGGCATCCGAGGAGCAAACATTCCTACCCTTCTCAGAGCTTTGGTCGGTTGTGGATGGTACGGCATTGAGACATGGATCGGCGGCGAAGCCATCTTCTTGCTGTTGCCGAGTCATCTCAAGAACTCGGCTTTGTCCGAGTCACTACCATGGCTCGGGACTTCGCCGCTGGAATTTGCCTGTTTCATCGTGTTCTGGCTCGCTCAGTTGTGTATTGTCTGGAGAGGGATCGATGGTATCAGAGAACTCGAGAAGTACTCAGCTCCAGTTCTCATCACTCTCACTTCCTGTCTCGTCATATGGGCTTATGTCAGAGCCGGCGGGTTCGGGCACATGCTCCACTTGTCGTCCAAGTTATCGGCTTCCCAGTTCTGGTCTCTGTTCTTCCCATCTCTAACCGCGAACATCAGCTTCTGGGCAACTCTCGCACTGAACATCCCAGATTTCTCACGGTTTGCCAAATCTCAGACCGATCAGATCATCGGTCAAGCCGGTCTTCCTGTCTTCATGGGGCTGTTCACGTTCGTTGGCTTGGCCGTCACGTCATCTACGAACATCATCTTCGGAAGAGTAATCTCCAATCCGATTCAGCTTCTCGGCCAGATCGGAGGGGTCACCACCGTCATCCTCTCCATCCTCGGCATTACCCTAGCGACCATCACCACAAACATAGCCGCAAACGTGGTCGCGCCCGCAAACGCGCTCGTGAATCTGAACCCAAAGTTCTTCACTTTCAGAAGAGGAGCCCTTCTCACAGCGGTTCTCGGAATCGCGTTTCAGCCATGGCGGTTGCTCAGATCCAGCGAAAGCTTCGTGTACACGTGGCTCGTCGGATACTCTGCCCTTCTGGGTCCCATCGGAGGGATAGTCCTCGCAGATTATTATCTCATCCGGAAAATGAAACTGAACGTGTTAGATCTGTACAGCTTGAGCCCTTTTGGGGAATATTACTACTCAAAGGGGTATAATTTCGTGGCGATGGTGGCTCTGATCGCCGGAATCTTGCCGGTGGTGCCGGGTTTCTTGCAAAAGATCGGAGCTTTGTCGGGGATCGGAGATGGGTTTGTCGTTGTTTACAACAATGCTTGGTTCTTCAGCTTCTTCCTAGCTGGATTCGTCTTTTATTAGCATCAAACTAAAATGCTAAGGTTGATTCCTAACATTCAGGGGAATATCCGGTTTGGTTTGGTTAAGGCGTCATTGTTTTGTTTGGTTCAGTGAATTACCTCAAATGAGCTAAACCGGATCAAAGTTGTGAATTGATTAGGCTTAGGCCCAAGTTGTAGAATCCATAACTAAATATTTTTATTTGGGTTTTTTGGGCTATTATTCATATCCATGTTTAATTAGGCCGGTTTTATATTTGCTCCTGACTTTGTAATAGGGGCTGATTATTTCAATATGTTTATTGAATAACTCCAATTCGGCCCATTACATGAAACTATATAACAAACCATGATGATGAATCATTGATCATATGTGTTGTAGCATTGTTTGGATGTGAGTAAAGTGTAACTTCATCAAAATTCGCATGCATCATCTTTAGAGTCCGCTCTTGCCTTCCGATAATGCATGAACTTTTACTGTCTTGCAGGTTTTGTAAATGTCACCCAATTTCAATTTGTGGACATTTTATATATATATATATTGGCCGATTCCGTTAATTTCTGAATAATTGGATCCATCCAAGTCTAATAATATGTAATAGTAATTAAACTAAATTGGATCTAAATATTAAATGATTGTAATTTATCCAAACTTAATAAAATAAAATAAAAAAAAGCGAAAACCCATTTTTTTAAATCGGATATTTTTATCCAAAAAGGGGAAAAAACGGACTAAATCGAACCTGATTATCATAATTTTTTTTAAACCGAAACAATTGAATCTGAATATAATTAAATCTAAGCCGAACCGAAGCTGGAAATTGTAATCACACACACACATATATATATATGAGATGGGCTTATTGTTATTCCGGCCCATGTTAACTATAATTTGTTGTTTTTGCCAAACCATGATGTGAATTAGAAATAAAAGCATCCAAATATTGTGAAATAAATCCTATAAATGAATACAACAATAACTCTTAATTCTTAACTTTCCAAACTCTTAGTGAATGTTGTGGAAATATATATATATATATTCCAATTTCATATGCAATCCAACATATGAAATTCACTAATAACATATTATAGCAACAAAAACAAACAAAAATTTATACCGAATATTATTTTATTCCTTAGACAAGAGCAGAGAATCCGCGATAGCATTACAACACACAACGCACAAACGCTAATCAACACAAGAAAGCAAATAAGCATAAGATACTAATAAAAAGGATGATAATAATCTGCTGATTCCGAGGGGAACCGAAGCTTGCCAAAGGATCGAAGTTGCCCTGTGAGGGAGAAACCCGCTGCTTCACTCAGCGGCCTTCAACCTTTCTGCAATCTTCATCGCTCCAAACTACATATTAAAAAGGACACAATACCAACCACATACACGCATACATACATGATACATAGATGCATGCATGCATGCATATGCATAGATCTCTTTAGTTCTGTGTGTGCTGTGTCCTTGTCTTTTGGGCCACTCCCCTCACAAAGAATAAGAAGGAGAAGATTCGCCATTGATCCTCTCCTCCTCCTCCTTCTTCTTCTTGATAATGAATCAGAGGAGCGGCCCTTTCATTTGTGTAGTGTTGTGCTCGAGAGGGTTTCAACAATGGAGGTTTTTAGGGTTTTTATAGCTTTTTTTTGTGTGTGTGTGTGTGTGTCTTTGGTCATGGAGACACTTAAAAGACGGATTGAAACCAATCTCGCACAACCTATAGTGTTCTCTCACTTTTTCACTTTTCTTTGATTTAAAATTCATTGTCTTTTTATATATATATATATATATAATAACGATGACGAGTGAACACTATATATAGCTTTGTTTCGTGTTTACAGTCACTATATAATATATACGGATAACGTTATTAACTCTATATTCTTTCCGAATCTAGCTAAACGTGACAAGTTTTCAGGCAAATTTTCTAGATATTATGCCAAAACAATTCTATGTAATCTCAATTTAAGAATCAAAATCATAAGGCTATATATATATATATACGGTATTATAAATGATTTGTGATTTTAAAAAAAATCCAAGAAAAACTACAGAAGATTATTGGTGTAAAAGTGTATAATTAAAAATGATGGGTTATATTGGTGTAAAAGGGACATGAATTATTATTTATTTTTTTTCTAAAAGTGGGAAGCAGATGGGAATGGGGATATAGATTTCAAATATGCTTGGAATTTTGGATCTTCCATGGAATATGCCGTTACCAAACATGCCCTTTTTGGCCTCATGACATAAACATGTCTTTTTTTTTTTTCACATTATTTTCATAGATCTCATGCTAATGTTTGAAAATGGTTTGATTGGTGGATGTGTAAGGAAGCATTTCCTTTTGTTTTTTTCCTACGAAAGTTATTACAAATAGCATATATTTTATCATACATCTAGATTTCATTTTATCTGTAAATATGGAGTATATATGTAACTTTATTTTTTAAAAAAATAAACAAATTCAAATGAACAAAAGAGTATAACAAAAAAAAGTGTCACATATCCAACTTATCTTTTATGGGTACAGAGAAAGTATATAAATTCGTTATCTTTTGTATTAGATTATTAATCTAGAGTTAAAAAAATGATAGCTTTTATTAGCATCAAACTAAAATGCTAAGGTTGATTCCTAACATTCAGGGGAATATCCGGTTTGGTTTGGTTAAGGCGTCATTGTTTTGTTTGGTTCAGTGAATTACCTCAAATGAGCTAAACCGGATCAAAGTTGTGAATTGATTAGGCTTAGGCCCAAGTTGTAGAATCCATAACTAAATATTTTTATTTGGGTTTTTTGGGCTATTATTCATATCCATGTTTAATTAGGCCGGTTTTATATTTGCTCCTGACTTTGTAATAGGGGCTGATTATTTCAATATGTTTATTGAATAACTCCAATTCGGCCCATTACATGAAACTATATAACAAACCATGATGATGAATCATTGATCATATGTGTTGTAGCATTGTTTGGATGTGAGTAAAGTGTAACTTCATCAAAATTCGCATGCATCATCTTTAGAGTAAAATGATATGTGTTTGATTTTTTTTTTGGACGAACCGTTTATTTTTAAACGGTTCTTTATGACCATAGCTTGATTCTTAAGTTTTTAAAAAATAAAATTATTCATTAAATTAAAATACAAAAATATCGTCAATTTTTACTATATATATATATATATATATATATCTACTTAGCTATTAGACTTAATAAAATTATGAACGTATATTTTTGGTCTCCTATTTCATCGTTGAAGAATATGTCTGCATAATATGTATATATATATATATATATATATATATATATATATAGTGGAGAGGTATAGAAAAATGCCAACATGTGGAGTGGACCAACCCATGCAACCATTAGAGATAGACATTGACCACAATTCGATTGGTGCTTAGAGATAAAATGAGGTCCCCATTAGCACATAAACAAGATTATCACAAGCACTTCGGTCATAATCCATAACCAAATCAAATGCTAATAATGTTGTAATCCATGCTTACCTTTTTATTTTATTTTTTTAAAGTTTTGGTTGATTTAAATACGATTATCATCTCCATATATTTTAATCAAACTTAATTTCCCCACCAATAAAAGTCTCGTATCAATTTATCATAATTTATAGTAATTAAATACATCTTAAAAATATATTAATGTTAGATTGCAGTCCACCAACGCGTAGTGGATTCAAGGAAAATATATACGAGGAAAACAAGGTAAAATTTTATTTATAAAAGAAATATATTATCATTCTAAAGTTTTTTTAGACTCTTAAATATCTCAATAATGTGTTTATTGAACGACAACGGAGTTGGTCGGTGCCCGGCAAGAGAATAATTAGTCTACTTGTTCACAAGATTTCCCGACAATTATCTTCCCTGCAGTTTACCAAATCCTCTGTTCTTCTTTTTTTTTTTTCAATACAAAATAATATTATATATCTATATCACATCTTATAAAAATAGAAAAAAAAAAAGACAATATCTCTTGGATTTGCGACTACGTAAACACAAAATCTGGTTTACGAGACAAATATGAAATTTCAACAATTATCTATGTTTATATATATATATATATATATATATATATATCCTTTTTAAATTATTTTTGTTTTTTTCTCAATGGATTTCACGAATAAAATTTAACCTATTTTTTTTTATATTCACACAATTTATTTTATCGAGTAGAGTTTTGCATGCAATACCAATAAAATCAATAATTTATGCTACAATATACTACAATACCGAATATGAACATTAATCTTTTTTTTTTGTTATTTGGTTTTGACAATAGGGCAATTAAATAATAAGATTCAGATTCCAATTTCAAATCTAAATTTAATATATAAAAGGAAAAAATGGATATATAAATGATTGGTATTCCCCTCAAAATATTCGATACGACGAGAATTGTTGATCACAATAATTAGTGCGAGAGAATATATATACTGTTATTGTGCAGCCGCCACCGACGCTATCACTCAAAGGAAAATATCATCGCCGCAGTTGGTATTTGCCATTACTTTATTTATTTTGTTCCCATTATCAAAACTAATTGCGAATAATATTAGATAAGAACAAAAAAACACACCACGTAAAAACAATGATTTTATTATTATTATTATTATTGTTGTTGTTGTTGTTGGAGAATATATTCATGAATTGGATGGATGGCCGTGACGACTATATAGGAGTAACGTTGAGCCTTTACATATATATATATATATTGATAATTTGAAATAGTTGTTCAGAATATAAAACCGAAGGTTGAATAGTTTTCCGATAATTAAATAGTGTAATATTATATATATATATATATATATTCTAAATATACTTTTGAAATTATATAATATTTCAATTATGTACTATAACGATATCTTCTCTCTCTCTATATATATATATATTTCATTTTATTTTAAAAATTCTAACATACTTTTGTTGATATTATGAATATCATAAACCTTTTTTTTCGTTATTTTTCTTTATTTTTTTGTTTTAAAAAATATTTTGAAATATCAAATAATTTAAATTAAAATTGAAATATATTATCCTTAAATTACAAGATTATATCATTTTATTAATAGTTTTATCTTATGAAAATGTGTCCATCGTTATTTTCCTTTAACATTAACAAATTATTTTAAAATTTTATTCAAATTATATTTAGCCCCAATTTCCGAAACGGGAAAACAATGGAAAGAGACTTTGGCGCAGTTCATCCCCTTTTGTTCCGTAGATTCATAAACGAGTAACGCATTTTAGATACATTTGGTACGTAGCATGGGAAATGCACACTTTTAGTTGTAATAACCAATTAATTAATTAATTGGTATATTTATCTTTTATTAGTGAATGAAGCCCCTTTTTTTAATCATATAATAATTCGTATATTTGCGATGATAATCTAAAAGTAATAATCATTGCCTATCCTAAATAAAATAAAATAAAAAAGCAATGATAATCACAAAGCACAAATGATTGTTGTTACTCCAAAAAAGCATTAGGTTTCCAAAAATATCAACCGACCAAATGCACCAACCCTAACTTATTAATAGATACATAATTTAAATATTACTATATATATATATATAAGCTTATTTTTTATGAGGAAAAAAATTCAAATTGAAATATTGTTTAAGTATTAAAAGATGACCAAAACCACAAGTATTCAAATAAAAATATATAATTAATTCAAGCGAGTATGAGAAGACAAGTGGAGTATTTATATAGATTGCGTGCACGTGGATTAAAAAAGACTCGCAATTTCTTCACCGGCCATCTATGGAGGTCAACGTCCCACCTCCCATAACTCATTTTTTTTAAGGAAAAAAAAATCCCGACACATCGCGCATTTCATTTACCAAAAAATGTCACCATCTATATATATGTTAGTCCGATTTTAACTTTATAAAAAAATCCAAAAAAATATAAAATAATTTTAGTTTGATTGAACTTTGTTATGTTAATATTAAATTTTGATGTTCCTAACATTAGTTTGGATCTTAATTTGTATATCCGATTGTTAAAAAAAAAAGATTCGATTTTATTAATATAGGAAAATTTTGAATGAAGTAACAATCAAAGGGCAACTTTGGTATATCGATTTGGATTTTGTTTTTTTTTAATGCAATCTAAAATCTATTAAGTTTCAGTTGGATTGGATGAACTATATTGGATTATGTTGCATTATGCCCAAGCTTGGGGTTTTCTGATACATTTGATATATATGGTGCTGAAGTTTCAGAAAAAATATATTCGGGGTGAGATCGAGAAATAACGAAAAGATCGGA